AGAATAAGACTCAACCAAACTATTATGAATCTGGGAGATTAAATTTACACTTTGGAGGAGGTAGGAGGAAACATCCATCAGCTTGGGAGTTGTGCACAAATCAGAGAATTTATGATGAACACCATGTTATAATGTTTCAAAGACAATTTAGACAAGTGTGTTGAATGAATTGTAAGTAAATTGAATTGTTTTATGTTGTCATTTTTTATTTGTAAGGTATAGCTTTATATGTTAGGATAAAACCTCAAAATCTTAAATAAATTACGAGAGGTTAATTACAAACAGGCTTTACATAAAATGCACTTTTCTGATGTATATCTAAAGCAGAGGTAGCTGTTATAAACAAAAAAAAATAGATTTTCTTGCTAATACTAAACATCTTCTACGTTAGATTTCAGTCTTGTCTTAAAGGAAACTTTAAACTGAGCAATGAAAAGACAATAGTGTTTATACCATGGCTGCAGCAGACAGCCCTAATGCAGTCAATAATCATATCATCATATCGTCAGCAGTGGTTGTGCTTTGTGAGCATAAATTTATCAAGTTAGACATTTTTTGACTTTGTTTTTTAACTGTGATTTTTATTTGTTTATGTTTTTTAAGAGTCACTGTCATCATGAAACTTTTGCTGCGTTCTATGGATGGTCTCCTTCAATCTTTACAAAAACAGTAGCATGTTAGATTTTGCATTTACTTTTCTAAATCTTTTCATTCGACCTGGGTGTAATTGAAATGAGATATTTCCAACACTTTTAGACTTTAACACATTAGGCTTTACATAACGAGATCAATGAAGCAGCCAACATTAATAAGTAAGTACACCTGCTTTTCCCTGAAAGGCTTTCAGCCATTAAACCTTACTCACTGAAATGACGGGACAGGAGGCATTTTTTAAGTTGCTGCTGTCACTTTCCTCCCCTGTTTGTTTACCGGAACCACCAGAGGTGATCTGCCTGCGAGATGGTAAGCCAGACACTTGTACCAGACAGGTGTTGTTTTCTAACTCGGTGTGGGTGGTCGAACGTTGACGACGTCTCCACAGACCTTGACGAAAGTGAATTGTAAACAGGCCGTAGGTGATGGGGTCCAAACATGCATTGAAGAGGCCAAATATGAACAGCATGTGAGTGAGCGAATGAGAGACCGTCTCCTCCATTTTTTCAGGAAACAACCAATACCACAAGCCAAGCAGGTAATATGGCGTCCAGCAGATGATGAATGAAGTCACAATGACGACGCTCATCTTCAGAGTTCTCATCCGAGCTTTCGGGATGTTGCTGTGAGAACGCCGGAGATGGATGTCTCTGGACAGAGCTGGGAAAAAAAGAAAAATATCATCTCTGATCTAGAAAATAATTTTGACCTGAAGAAAAGAGACTCGTGACTTACTGTTATTCTGAGCCATGCGGCTGGATATCTCCACCAGGATTCGCGTGTAGCAGAAAATCATGATGACCAAGGGCAGGAGGAAGAGGCACGTGAATGTGAACATGTTATAGAGGGTCTCCTGCCAGCGATGGATAAAACTACCATGGGTGGTGCACTGGGTAAAGGTCTCAGGCACTGTTATGGTCACGTTGTGGAAAATAAACATCTGTAGAAACAAAAAGACAACAGCTCTATTATCCTGATTTTAACGTCACAGTGGTTTGTTCTTTGTTCTGATGTGCGCAGGTGTGGAGCCAGCAGGTGG